CAAAGGGCGACATGAGTGGCAAAGGTATGTCATCTGCATAAGTCGCAGCTTAATATTACTGGGCGCTCTCTCTTTGGGCTTCATGTAGAACAACTCATTATCATTATAGTATTGTTTGCTATAGCCAACTTTGCAGCAATATCGGCACTTTTTAGACTATGACATTTGCCTAAAGCTAAAGACTCTTATAATATTGTACTTACATTGCAGCTGTTCGAGTGGCTGGAGCCATGCAACAGGAAGTGACCGCGAAGCGTGGAGAATTGGACGCCTTACAAAACAAGTAAGTTGCCATTGATGTAATCATATTATCAGCCAGACTTACGAGTGTTATTTTACATGTACGTTATTCTGTCACACGCTTGATTGCTTGCAAAAAATGTCGTGTTATTATCTTTTTTAAAGAATCCATTGGTTGACAGAAAGCCTAAATACAGCTTCCAAGGTAGGAAACAATTTTATTGAAGACTGGTACCGGTGGATGCCATAAATGATATGCTCTCCCGTTGGGCGATAACTCAACTTTTAGTTCTCTCACTGGTTTCTCTGTTGCTTTAGGACGCACGCTATTACGAGAGGNAGCAAGCGCTTGAAAAGGTGCGATAATAAACGAATGAATGGCTATGGACACCCATGTTCGTAATTTATAATTACTTCTGAATTCCAGTAGATGGACGCCTTCCATAAATAGACAATTAGTCATGTTCCCTGCCAAAAAGTCTGCAGACGAGCCAAACGGCCCATCAGGCCGGCACTTAACTGCGGCTTCAGTAGCATGAAGCGACTAGGAGTATTTTTTCTCTTCCCTCCCCACCCCTGGATGGGACGCTAGTCCATCTCAGGGCTATCCCCAGCATTTAATTCGCCAGGACCGATTTGTGCACGTCAGAATAGAGTGTCTTCCTAAAGAACACAACACAACAAAATATCCCCTGCCAGAGCTCGAACCCAGAGCGCTCAATCCGGAGTGGAGCGTGCTAACCATGAGGCCAACGCCCCTCCCACGGTCCCAGCTACATAGAAGAATAGATACAGCGAAACTTGTATTAAGCGGACCCCACATTAAGCGAACACCCTCTATTAAGTGGACACCAGCTTGAGTCCCAAACTTTTCTTCCTACATTCACCGTGAAATAAACCTGCATTTAGCGGACACCAATATCAAGCCATTTCGTTGCACAAAACCTGCAATAAGCGGACACTTCAAGAGCTTCTACTTCTGAAAGCTCAGCTCAGACTCCTTTAACATGGTTCAGCGATATTTTTTAAGCTAAATGGATTATTCCAGATTGAT